TCGATTCTCGCGTGATTAGTTATTGGCCATTCCATTGATCGTTATGTGGACATGTGTGTGTGTATGTGTGTGTTCACGTGTAACATCAGAAAATAACTTCCGCTTTATAAAAATTAATTAAAAATTAATTGCTCTTATCGCTCGAGTAATTGCAATAATCACACACGAGAACGAGTAAACACGGCACTTCCGAGAAATCGCGAACATCTGCTTGAACATTGTTTCGTTTAATAATCTATTTTTTTTTAAATCGACAACAATTAATTTGTCGATGATATAACAAATCTGTTTAAATCTCCATTTGCGCTAAAGTTTTCGAACATGTGTTTTAGTTTTTAATTATATATATATATATATATATATATATATATAATTTGTGTGCGCGATGATAAATTGAATGAACATGAACAATGAGTAAATATATAGCCGGTAATATTTAGCCGCGAGTCTTCAATTGCCGACGGATTTGTAAATGTCGCCGTTAATGAAGAGGATCGCTATCCGCGCCGGTAGCCTCGGTTTGCATTACAGCCAGGAGAGTGAATCGTTCCCTTGATTACGCGGCGAGGAAGGTTGCGTATACATCTTATTCGCGCGTGGGTGCGTTTACGCGCGTAGGTATCGTGGGTCACGCGCCGGCCCGTGGATGACCTTACACACCAACAGTTCGTTAACGGGGAATCGTTCTCTCCTTCTTCGTCGCGATCTCCGTACGTACGTCAGTGACCCGCGCGTGGGCGCGGGCTACGCGTCGCTAATTACGAGCAATCAGACGCGGTCGATGCGTCAACATTATGCAAATCCGGTCTCGAAAGGGCGACCGTATAGAAAGCGATTAGCGAGATAAATCGGTTTTTTTTTGTCGAATTCTTGTTTTTCTTCGCATATCTCAAAAAGATTATACAATTCGAAGTGCGTTCTATTTGAGTCGCTAAAAACCACATGTACGTGCAGAGATTGTTTTTATTTTATTTTATAGACTTCTTGCGAAAATGATGTGTATATTATTTTGTCATTGCGTTGGATTGTAAAGAGTTAACTTAATAAAGTTAAGTAGTTTTTTGCGATACTCTTTGCTAGACGACGGCAGAACTCAGAGTGATTTATGATCTTTGTCTCGTTATAGCGTTTGTCGTTTATTACGCCGGAAACGTCGTAAGGACACCGTAATAACTGGAAAATTGTCGCGACACGTCATTATCCCGCAGGTGGCACACAGAGGTTGCGCCCTATCCAAGTACTTCATTTCCTGCTCCGCGCGCGCGGTTACGTTTTCTTAACCCTGCGTTTATATCCACGGAGCGCCTGAAAGGTCTCGTTAGGTGAAACTCTCGCGTAGAAATTACACGTTACCTCCACGGACCAATTACAGTTCTCCCCACAATCTCTCAATACGTAGGAAAATGTAAATTAGGTTTCAATGTGCGACTCCATCACCTCCTGAATCATCATCATGTCGAGGAGCGTAATTTTATTTAATTGCAGGATAGAGCTTTGACAGCGAAATTTAAAAGAACATTCCCGATAACCGGCAATCAGCTGTAGATTACATTGACTTTTCGTAGTCCGAAGCTAATAATTTTTGGAGGAAACCTCGCGTGTCGCGAGAGAAAGTATCGTGTCTCGTTTTATTTACGCGCAATATTGTAATTTCTGTATGTACAATTTTTTTTTTTTTTTTTTAATTTAATATTAAACCAAGGTATTAAACCAAGCTACACTTATGGCATTTTTTTAATGACAGAAACTCTGTTCGTGCATGTTGTTTTTAGTCGCTGTACGTAAAAAAACCGCCGAGATGATTCTGATAAATGTCGCTAGAGTGCGACATTTTTAATTAACAATATGACGTTTTAACAAAACACGGGAAATTCGAATCCGGTTATGTATTTATAGTAGTTTTGTTTTATCGAGGTGGCTCCTGCCAACACCGCCTCTTTAACCTCCACTACCTCCTCGAGATCCGCCCACAACGCGTGCTCGTTTATTCCCTTCGCTCCATCCCTGTGAACTCCCACGCCACGTGCTTGTTCCTCACTTTGGTCTTTTATTCCTTACGATACGTATTTCTGTCGCGACGATTTCAATTCTCGATCTGATTTCACGCGTCGAAATCGATTTTTCTGAAATTGATTTTAATTGGCTCGCAATAAACTCGAGCGTACGTTATTATCGACGAGGTGTCTTAAAAGTTTAGAATAAAACTAAATATATATTAAATATATTTTAGTTTTTAAAATCTGTTACTTTTATAATAAAAATGGTGTTTGTAAAAAATATTAAAATTCAACGGCAGCTGTGTCCAACAGTTGCAGCAAACTTCAGGAGGCTCGTGTGAAATTGCTGGGCGTAAACGCGCACGCGGCAGGTTAATACGCAGAAAATTACCGAGGTTCTCTTGCGCGAGTTGCGCGAATATATTTGACTTCATGATCGTCATGCGTAATGCATTAAATAGGACTCAACCGTTGTTGGTGCTGCCGCTCACTTTTCGGACGTCTTTTGTCGAGTTAAATGAAACGTCGCGAGTGGGTGTATCGCGTGCGTGACGGGCTCAAAAAGAAAAAAAAGAAGTTTTCATTAACGAGACATGCGAGAAACAGCGAGAGAGCGAAGGGCGGGAACGTCGATCGCCAATGTGCGTTCTCGTTCCTTTCCGTTCCCGATATCGCGGATACTGTGCGCGAATACGCGTCGCGCGATTACAAAAGAAAATCTGTTATATATATATACATATATATATATTGCAAGCGATCGTTTCCCGCGATTATTTCACGGTCGTGCGAAGCTATGCGCGGGAGAAACGCGGACTCGTTTGAGGTGGTTTCCTTCGCGCTGGAATTCATGGATCAATTGAATCTAACAGTACTTGTGTTTCGCAAACTGAATTTCTCGCTCTCGGAGAACGCGTGGTCGTATTGCGCGTCGGTGTGTTTCGTCACATATAAACTCAATGTTTTTTTTTAATATAAAAACACAAAGAATCTTGATGCAACATGTGAGCATCGCACACGAGCAAATATTTGCGTGAAATTATTTTTTCTTAAGCGATTAAAATATTTGACCTTTATTTCAATCTTCTTTTTTTTTTTTTTTGGTCGAACTTTTGGATAACGGCAAGATCTTCGGTACGCGTGTTTTATGATTCGCGGATAAGTGCGCGAGGCCGCGTTCCTTTCTAGCGGCGAAGTGGCAAAACCATCAGTGATAAAGGAACGTAACCGCGGCCTTAAGTTTAAAACCGCCGCGCGCGCGTTGCGAGCTCGTATCCGAACGGTTCCGCCGTGAGGGAAATCTGCGGTGGCTTTTTCCTTTTCGTCGGCCTAGGCAAGCGAACGTGCCAAGCCGCACCTAGCCTAGAGATAGTTTCATCGCGGCATAAAACAGTAATCTATGGCCTCTCGCGCGTATATGCTCTCTCCGCCGCGTATAAGAACGAGCGGAATCTCGCCCGCTGACGCGCGTCGGCCTTTTCCAGGCCGCGCGGCGATGATTATGCGCTCGTCGTCCTGTGTCAGTGATGAGGGGGGAGACGGAAAAAGCGCGAAAATGACCCGCGCCAGTAGCGATTTGCGGTGAAATCGCGTTATTCGAACGCGTTATTGCTGAAGATTATAAAATCTTTTATGTGTGTTTTAGATTCATAAATAAATAAAACGCTTATAGATTGTGGACTTTTCGAACTTGACGATTTTTAACGAAACAAAAAAAACAGGAAATTAGACAGTAGAAATTTGCTTATTTGAGACCTGTATTTGACATTCTATCGATTTCGCTTCGAAAACAGAATCGATATCAGTGTAATAGACGTCAGTGTGTGATATCACATCCTTGATGAATATGTTCAGTCTCGATTGGAGTTTTGGTTTCCTATCAGATCGATATAAAGGTAAGAAAATCGCTATATTAACACACAAGTTTGCATAATTTTTGTAAAAATAAAAACTTGCGCAAACTGTTAGTCATCTATAAAATATGCTTTCGTAATAGCGTTCGCAAAATCAAAGAAACGCGATGTACACAAAAGCCGTCCCGTTGCGGAAGTCGTTTGACCTCTCGAGAAAGAGATTGACGCAGCATCCGCGACGGAAGCAACGTGCCTTGATGAGCGTAACGTCCAATTAAACGACCACAGGGGCAGCGCCGCTCTTTTATCGCTGATTATATTCATTTAATTATCTCGTTATTGCTGCATAGAACTGCGCTCGCATGTGCAATCCGCGAGTGCGCGCATAACAGAACAAACAGTATTAACTGTGCAGCATTCGTGATCATTGCTTGTCGGAAGGATTAACAGTCGCAATGAGATTATATTTGAACAAGTGCATCGGTGCTTGTTCGTTTTACCACAAGGCAATGTTATAAAAAGTTATCAATAATTCAAAGCGCAAATTGCGGAACAATTACAAGGAATGCGTTGTTCCGCATAGTTTTTTCGCGTTCTCTTCTTTCTCTTCTCTTCTCTTTGTCGTCTCTTCTGTTATCTCCGATGTGCACAATCCTCCCGCGCGCCGCGTTCTTTCTCTGATTTATCGACGTATTTCTAATCAAGAGACCGCGCGCGATCGGGTTGGAAGCTGTATTAGTTAACCTTGTCAGATAGATAGGTAGGTAGGTAAGTACCTCCTAGCTGGTCGTGCATGCTAAGTAGCTACTTCGTGGGTGGTGCTCCATGGACTTACCATCTAGCACTCGCGGTATTCGCTCGATCGATCGATCGATCAATCGATCCGCGTTCCATCTCCTTTTACAGAGAATTCTCTTTCTCTCTCTCTCTCTCTCGACCGAGCGAGCGAGCGAGCGATTAGTCGAACCAAGTTAAAATGCGTGGAAAATGAGAGAGAGAAAATTGAAGTTGGGGAAACTAAGACGCAACTGTTAAACAATTTTCAATTACATATAGTTGTACACAAATGCGCATGTTTCTTTCTAATTTTCTATTTCTATCTTGTTTTCATTCATGCGCAATCTTTAAGTTTTTTTTTTTTTTACATTTTCAGGATCCGAGAAGAACGGCTACGCTGACGGGGGAGGCTCGTTTTCGTATCATTTCGGTGAGTGTTTTTGTTTTTCTTTTTCGCGCGCGCATTAAATAAATATCTTTACGCAATCTGCATAATTCTCCCGACGGCTGCTATTCGTCGGCTGTTTCTTCCGCGATAATCCGCCGCGATAAACCGACGGCCCCGCAACGTAAGCGAGGTAATGTAATAACCGTCGTTTCTCGAATGTCGGAAGTTTAGAATCATCGTCCCCGCGCTGATCCCCGTGCTGCGATTATGTGGGAGCCGCGCGGTCGTGGTAGTTCGCGTACGCACCGCCGCCGCGCGTATAATATCGGACGTATCTATCGGGCGAGGTCGGTGCGTATAGCGGCGCAGCGATTAGGACTTAACGATTATTCGCGGTCCCGCGGTGAAGTTAACCGGTCGTAGAAGTAATAACGCCGGACAATCTGGTCCGGCAATCAATGAGTACGTGTTTATGTAAATTGGACGAGTCCGAGACACGAACTACGAGAGAGTGACTTTTCCTTTACCGGTTGCGCGCCCCTCGTGAGCCGCGCGCGGTGTTAGGTGAGTTTTATTAGCCGGCGAAGGAGACACACACACACACACACACGCACACGCACGCACGCACGCACAGACGAGAAGGGAGAAATACGATATCAGACTTGCACGCGATCGTCTTCGGTCACGCAGAAGACGCGACAGATTTTCTTGTACTACTTTAAATTGCGTCCGTGCGCGCATTTCCTGCTCGCACACGGTTGCAACTGCATTAGCGAGATATCGTAAATGTCTACGTATGCATTTGAATTTTTTTTTTTTTTTTTGTTCTTACGCGCATAAACGAAGCATCTACAACTGTTTTTTTTAGTGGCGCGCCACAAAAAACGCTCGAGTTCGTACGTATGTAAGAAAATCTAAATAATACGCAGACCATGACGGATGAGCAATTAGATCGCGCTCACTATTTGTAATCTATCGACGATTGGCGCGATTGGAAAACACGTTCTCAGCGCGAATATAGTTTACGAACAATCCGGTAAGCAATAAGTCTTTCTGATCGACGATTAGTTTCTAGAGATCCAACCGAAGCTTCCTCTCGCGAGAGAGGACACTCTAATCGTGCTTCGCGGCTGCAATCAGCCGGAGGGAGCGAATGTAAAAACGAAGCAATTGTAGTTATTATTTCGTTAAACAATGTTTTTGCCATTTCCGCGTCGATAAACACACGTGACGCTATAAAAATTTTTTTTTTTAGTACCTACGTACACAACGAGAGCGCGACCGTTATTGGTGCGCGAGAGCGGGTTTTGAGGCAAACTGCCGCTCGTTAACGACGGAAAATTGCAGCACTTGTGGCATTTGTTTGTCGTATCTGCTGCCGAGCTTGTATTTGCTTGTGCTTTGCTTGCGCGTCCGTTTAGTTCGGAACGTATTGCGGGAGCGCTCGTGAGTAATAATAGGCATCGGCCGAGTTTTGCATGCAAATTGTGTGGATATACTTTTCTAGTTTTACCCTTCACGTACCTCGACGCTCAGTTTTTATTTTTACAACAAAAATTATGTTTACAACGAAAATTATGTAAACTTGTGTTTAAAAAAAGCGTTTTTTTGAAATCTCAAAGCGTCAGATTTCTAAGTTATAGTTACAGAGAGTTTAAAAAATTACATTAGCTAAAATGTAACAACATTTACGAGTGTATAAAAATAATTCACACTTCTCTGTCGATTTTGTATTCGAGTAAAAAAATTATAAAGTACAATTTTTCGATGTTATTTTTCAAAATATTTTTATCTGTTCTTTTTTCTGAAAATTCTACGATTTTACGTCGCTTTAATTTGTCGCCTTCTGACGCTACTATCGGCGCCGCCCGCCGATTCGAAATTCTCCTGAGGATCTCCAATTTAATCGGTCCCGCTTCTTTTTCGTTCCGCGAAAGACCGGAATCCAGTTCATGAAGTCGACACGACCGCGTTCCGTCGTTGCAACCGTATCGGACGGAATGGAATAGCAACTGTCGTTCGTCGAATGGGAGCCGCGGAGAGGCCGATCAATTATGCCGGTCGATTCCAGGCCACGAAATGTCAAGGCTCCACCTCGCTGGAATTCTAACGCAGTCTCATCCTCGACGACGGCGCGTCGCTCGAGCGTCATGTGCCGCGCGCGCGCGCGCGATATATCGTCATTGCCGATGACGGGAGTGAAACATCATTATCGCGAGAATCTATCTCTCGAAATCACAAAGGGAAAGGAGAGATGTATTGTATAATTAAAACAAAAGTATCGGATATTAAAATCTGTTATAACATGCCAATTAAATTAGAGGTCAATACGAGCCTCTAATTTAAGTTGTAAATGAACGAAAATATTTTTCTCTAACGATCTTCTGTATCATCCAACTGTTTTATTCTTGACTTTCGATTATCTGTTAAAAAAAAAAAAGAAAAAAGAGCCATAGTACTCGTTACACGTGAGTAGGAATGAAGCCGAATCGAACAGGAGAGCACGTATTGACGGTAGCCGTCGCCATTCACTCCTCGAAGTACGAAACTCGGCGCGGCGCTGCGCGTCCTCACGTCCGCGACGAACGATTTGCTGGTCGCAGCTCTCGACGCGAACGGCAGGAGACGCGTGTAAGTACGCGCACGTACGCACACGCGTGCGCCAAAGTATAATAAACATAATCGCGGTAGCGCGCGATGAGGAGGCCTTGGCCGTCTCTCCCTTCGGTCGTGCCCGGCACGCCCACCGCTACCATCGCCGTACAAAGAGAAAATACCGCGCCGTGGCAATCAACGGTTTTACACCTGAGCATCTCTCCACGTAGGTCGACCGGCCGCGAGAGCAAGAACGAGAGAATGTAGAAAGATGGTGAGAGAGAGAAAGAGAAATGTGAAAGAGAAGCGAAGAAGAAGGATATGCCCCTTTCCTTCCTCCGTTCGGAGCGTCTCACCTCGATAGGCAAGACTCGGGCGAGCACGATGTACCGACCTACCCTGAAGGATTATCGAAGCCTGCATCTTTCGATACGCTCCCGTTCCTTCCACCGCGGGCTCCCGTTGCGCGTCCCGAATCGATCCCGGTCTCGTCTCTCCGACGCGGGGCCTGCAGGATTCTGATCCTCGATTCGGTCTAACGGTCGTGCCTCGGCAGGTTCTCGGGAGTGCTGCTGCTGCTTGCTCTTTTCGAGATACCAGATAGACAATACGACACTGACTCTCGGACGGGCTATCGTTCGTATTTAACCTCTCGGAGTAATTTATCGGCATATCGATCGGAACGGAAATGTGTGTATGTATGTGTGTGCGCGCACGCGTTATTATTCCGACGGAGCGGAGTTCGCTCATTTCGAATATATATACGATATGCTCCGCGATAAATCGCTCTACGTACTTAGCGAATCTCGTAAGATCGTAACCTCCTGTTTAATGGTTTACCGGTATCTCGGTGCAAATCGCAACCTCAACCTTCTCTCTCGGACCAACCAACGCCTTGTTAGACGCGTTTATTTTCTCTACAGGCTCTCATTTTGATGCAAATCCGATGTCTCATGGCAGAGATTTTTCGTTTTTTTTTCTTTTTCTGATTTTGCCGTAATTTTCGCGCGTACACGTGGCGCGTTTGCCGAGATTTATAAATGGTATCCTTCGGCGCGTTCGACGATCGCGCGAGAGAAATACGCGCGTAAACATAAAGAAGTCAAGCTAGGCACTTAAGAAGGAACGGTCGGAGAATTTTCTCTCTGGGAGAAAATATATATACATATATATATATATATATATATCGACCACGTATCGGCGATTATCACCCGAGTGGAAGCTCCCAGTTCTCTTTTCGTGGCCGTGTCGCATGATGCCGACAAGCTCGCATGTGCGATCAAATTTCAACTGCATTCCGAGGGGGCCCGATTCTATGACGTGGAATAATTTTCAGAGAAGTATGCGAGGTGTTTAGCTCGGGTTGTTCATTATGTTAGAAGGGGATGATAGCCTGTCCGTACAGCTATGTGTGTATGCGGTTGAAAATAAAGCAATTTTCTATGCGCACGCGTTTAATTAAATATTATTGCATATCTAATTTATAGGCGATAAATCATCGCGTAATGATAATTGCGAAACAACATCCACTAATAGATACTCATATAATTGGACGCTTCCGACATACAATACACATTGCATCCTGTAATTAATCATTCTCATTACGTTTCTCGCGCGTGATTAATGTTTAAAAATAAAAAATTAATGCGTTTTTGTTTGTTTTTTTTTTTTTTTTTTT